ATTTTTTATTGAGTACCAAATAATAAAAATTAAAAAGAATAAGGAAATTAATATAATTTATAAAAAGTATATGAAGTTGGAATAGGGAAAAAAAAAATTATCAAGTTGGATTAGAAAAAAAACATGTTTGCTGGGATTAGAACCCAATGCCTTCAGATTTGTAAGCGACGCTCTTGCCGATTAAGCCACAGACGCTTTTCTAAATTCACGATTTTTAAAATATATGTAAATTGTGACACTTTGAGTGCGACACGGCTTTTAATATTATAGATTTCTTTTCTACATCACCTGCCCAGCCTTGATGAAAGAAAAAAATATTATATACTTTTCTTTTTACCTTTTCTTCCTTATTATTTTGTTTCATATTATTTTTTATTTTGTATATTCCATTTTAATAATTAAATTTTTATTTAATAAATAAAGCAATAAAATATTTTTCTTTTTGTATTATTATAACTATATAAATAAAAATATAAAACAAAAAAACAAAACCAATCCCTTATTTTTTTTTCACTATAAAACTTTTAGTTATTCATGTCGTGAATAACCACGAAATCAAAATTAAAATATTTTTCAATAACTATTTAGTTGATTAACATCACTATCCATATTGATAAATTGTGATGATAAAAATATTCTAGCCCCAAAGACCTAGACCCGTCCATTTAGAATAATAATTATGATTACAATCGAAATATAATTAAATTAACTTTTTTGCATTGTTAAAAATATTCCTGACCCTTCATGACCTAGAACCGCCTACCTTGAATAATAATTATGATTACAGTTAAGGTATAATTAAAATACCTTTTATTTGATACCCATATTATTATTTTGTGTTGATAAAAATATTCCTGGCCCCCAAATCTTCGATTAGCCTATCGAGAAGAAACGTGTGTCCTCCTAATGAATAGATTATTAGCTCTCAATAATATATTGAACATATATACCTTCTTAAGTTCAACAAAAAACAATTATAAATTGGTTTTTGCTCCAGGTCTGTGTTGGTGTTCGAGGTCAGAGTTGGTTTAGTCGATTTTTAGACCCAAACCCCGGGTTTGGGGTTTACACAACCATAAAAACACTAGTTTAGGGACAATTGAGTTAAGTTTAACAATAACCCCTTTTTATTGTTTATAAGTTTGGTTAAGATTTATCAGGATTTTTTTATATTTTTTAAATTTTCTCAATTTTTAAATATTTTATTTGGGGAATGATTAATATCGATTTTTTTCATTTATTTTTTTTGAAGAATATTATTATCGATTTGGAGAATTCATTTTTTTAATATTTATTTTGTTTAAGAATATTATTTCGGAGAATTTTTTTTTCTTTTTTATATATAAGATTATCGATTTTCGAGAAATTATTGTAATTATTATTATATTTTTTTCCGGAACATTATTAACTTTCTGAATATATTTTAAAACTATCGAATTTGGAGAATTGTGTTTCTTTTTTCCAAGAAAAACTAATAATTATTAAAAGAAAAATATTAAAAGGCATGAAATAAAAGGAAAAATATTTTTTGAAATTATGCTGAATTTAAAGTGATAATGAAATTAAATAATATAAATTAAGATAATTCCGCAAAATAATATAATATTTAACAATGGGAAAAATAACATATATAACAATAGCGGTGAAAAAAATCCGGGAAAACTACGTTATAAAATTATCTAAAATACCAACATCGATTCCTATTAAGGAAAACAGATTCATTCACGACATTTCGGATAAAATTGTATGCCTACTTCATTTTAAATGATATATCAGATAATGAAAAAACGGGCAGCACTTATCTTCGCATTGTCAACTTATGACTTAAATAAGTTATTTATAAAATTCGCTCCTAAGTCCACTAATAAAATAAAATATGACGATATGCTAGATTCTTATAGCTAACGATAAAAAAATAGCACCGTTATAAATTTTCTGAAACATACTAAAAGAGACGGAGATACCAACCTATAATTTTTAAATTCACCAAAGGCGTTAGCGCTAAAATGTACAAAGCAAATTTCTTAAAGAAAAAGTAAAATTAGGACATGTTATTTCCAGTGCCCTCAGGCGAGAAACTGGAAGCGATATATGGTCCAATTCCTGAATCAGTCAACGAATTGCAGTCACTATTAGGGCGATATAAAAAAAAAATTTCAAAAATCGCGGGGCCCCTTTATGACTCCATAAAGGAAGGTAACAATTTCTGATGGACCAAAGAATGCGGATCAAGTGTTGAAACTTTAAAGAGATGTTTGACTAATCCCCCAGTGTCCATTTTGATCCAAAGAAGGATATCCAACTCACTACGGATGTGTTTATGTAGGGCGTAGGAGCCGTATTGTCTCATACAGAGAAAGACGGATCCAAGAATCACATAGGCTTTGCTTCATGGATACTATCGATGGTAGAAAAAAATACCTAACTATTGAAAGGGAAGTATTAGCACTTGTATTCGGGTAAAGAAATTTTATGAATATTTAGGACAAATTTTATAATATGGACTAACCACAAACCCCTTATATACATATTCGGTAACAAAAGTTCGGCAAATATAATCTTACCACGATTGCTCAAATGGTTTCTAATGTTAGGAGGGTAAAATTGTGAAATAAAAAACAAAGCGAGTAAAGAGAACAAAGTGGCAGACGGACTCTCAAGATGTCCAATGAAAGATAAGAACAAAGACCATAATAATGAAGTATATTTTATAAACAAACATCTTATATCAGTACACGAAATTCGGAAATAAGTCGAAAACGACGACAAGTTATAAAAGTAAAGGAGAGTATAAAAACTCAATTCAAGTCAAAAGATGAAAGTACATTAAGAAAATATGGAATGTGCAAAAGTAATTTATGGGTGGAAGACGGATGTTTATACAAAGAGGAAATAATAATAATTGCAACAGAATTGTGAAAAAAAAAATAAACGAATTACATAGTGGTTATCAAGGAATTGTCAGATTGAAGAGTTTAGCCAGACAATATGTATGGTAGCCCGGAATCGACAGCGGAATAGAAGAATTATGCCATCAATGCGAATTATGTAACACATGGGCGGACAATACTCCAAAAATACAATGGCAAAGAGTTCGCATAAATTTCGCGGGACCATTCAAAAACACCATGTGACTTGTTTGGTAGACACTTATATGCGATTAATGGAGGTAAAAGGAATGACCACCACCATATCAGAGAGAACCCAGAGGTATTGGGCGAAATATTTTCTAGATGGGAATATCGAAAAATCACATATTAACTTCTCCATTAGAATGGTAGGAACGGTGAAAACAGCCATGGAGAAAAATACCGCTATAAACAAGTATGATAGATTAAAAATCTGGAAATGATTAGGGAGACACAGGGAAGCAGAAAAGATGGTACCGAAAAAACCATACAACAGAGGAGTCAATCTTGTACAATTGGACAACCAGAATGGACTAAAATATATATTGGATCAAGGCAATGTTAATGTCTCGATAAGAAAAATTCATATATAACATGGACACAGCCAAAGGTCGTTGGAAAAGGCTAAGGACCTAATCCGGAATAGATGGGTCTATATCTAAAAAGAGAGATGATAAATATCGATTTTTTTTTGAAGAATATTATTATCGCGGAGTATTCATTTTCTTTTTTCGAAATATAATATGACGAATTGATTATTTATGTTTAAGAATATTATTTCGGAGAATTCATTTTCTTTTTATATAATATTATAAAATTATCGATTTTAGAGAAATTATTAATATATTTTTTTTCGGAACATTATTAACTTTCTGAGAAATATTTTAAAACTATCGATTTTGAGGAATTGATGTTTTTTTTCAAAGAAAAAGCTAATAATTATTATAAAAAGAAAAATATTATAAAGATTCATTATTAGCATTATGAATATTTGTTATGAAATAAAAGGAAAATATTATTTAAAATTATGATGTTAAAGTGATAATGAAATTGAATAATATAAATTAATATAAACAATTCCGCAAAATAATATAATATTTAACAATGGGAAAAATAAAATATATAACAGGGAAGTTTTTCCTGAGGATTTTCTTTCCAATTTTGATAATTTTTTAAAACTAAATTAAATAAACTTTTTAGGATCTAAAAAATGGGAACTTTTTTTCGGTGAATTATTTTCTGTAAGAATTATTTTTTGCATAAATTTTTTTCGGAGATTTTTTTTCCGTAATTCAACTAAGAAATCTCAACTAAGAAATCTACAAAGCCTGGCCCGTTTTGGCCCATCAAGATTTTTTGCACAAATTGCTCAGCCTAGCCTGACCCAGTATAATCTTTTTAATTTGTCCAGTCCGACACATTAATTTTACAAAATGTCAGGCACGTTCAGGCTCGTTATAATTTCACGATGAGTACCTGTCCCATTAAATTTATTTGTACGAATTTTTCGGCCATCACATTTTTAATATATTACATCAAATTTTTACCCAATGTTAATTAAGACTCTTATATCTCTCCTCTATGGCTATCGATTTCTACAACAAACGTTTTATAAATCAATTGTGCTTGATATCTGTATCATGTATTTGTAATTGTATCATATGATAAATAACTAATTTTTTGTGAATTTATTATATTATTTATGATTTTGCATTTTAATTAGATAGACAGCTCTTAGAATGCAAAGAAAAAGGCATCTTGTAATTTATTTTTAAATAGGATTAATCAAAATATTAGCCTGAAATTCAAAAAAATATAACAAAAATAATTTTATGAAAAATCAATGATTTTCGAGGATCTGCTAATTTTTTATATATAACTCTCCTACCTGGCCCAAAAAATTATTACGTACAAATTACCTGGCCCGGCCCATTAAATTTTTGCCTGGCCTGTTATAATTCTTTAGCTAGCCCAGCCTCACCTGTAAGCCGGGCTTTTGGGTGGGGCAGGCTTTACAGATCTCTGTTGTAAATAGAGCTATTAAAAAGTAGGAAATTAATATTATACAATTAACTTATTTAATATGGATACCTCCAAATCCACCTTTTTCAGCTTGACATCTATCAAGGAATGATATAATTCTGCAGGATATATAATTTTTTTAAAAAACTTAAAATTTGTGAAGATTATTTTAAAATTATATTTAAGTTAGGCGCGCATGCAGTGGGGGGGGGGGCAAAAATCAAAATACCGGCTAAAATATTTTCCAAAAATATACTGTTTTATATTATTAATATTTTACAATGTTTCTAACCTCTTATTGCATATATATAGGTTTCAAATTTTACCGTTTATCATTGTTGAGTCAAAAGCAGAGCTCTTGAATTTAATTTTATATACCTCAGAGTTGGGCAGGTCTCATCCGGAAAAAGAATCTAGATACATATAGATTCTTTGTGAAAAAATGAATCTCAGATAATAGTATCTTTTTCAAAATATCAAAAAGATACAAGATAAAAGATACTTGTATCTTTTGCTTAATTAGAGTATCTTAAATAGATACTTTTAAATTATCATTAGCAATTAAATAAGAATAGTTTATACATTGTTGTGATGATTTAATGAAACATATTGACGATTAAATTAAAACTCATTCATATAAAATTATTTTGTTTGCAAAAATAATTAAAATAACAAAAGGAATAATAAAAGAATTTTTAATAATGCTTTGTCTATATTTTAATTATTTGGGTTTTAATTTAATCGTCAATATGTTTCATTAAATCATCACAACACTATAAAATACAGTTTTTATTATTTATTTGTGAAGAACGTAACATATTACAATAATTAATAAAATATTTCATGATGAGTTAATTATAATAATCAGGCATTTTAATATTAGTATTAGCCAATTTTTAGCATAGATAGAGAAGGGCGATTAATATTTTTAATGGGAGTTGAAATACTAATTTTCTAAAGATAATTTATAGATTTATTATTTTATAATATAACCAAATTATCATTAGACCTTTGCCGTTTCGGCGTACTTAACATAGTGCCAAAACTAAATAATATTTCAATTGGAGCCGATGAAGATATTGCAGCATTATTAAAAAGATTTTCTTAATGGAAGGATAATAATTAAGCATTTATAATGTATTGCGACTTTCTTTAATATAATTTAAAACCTCCAGTTCAATGTTATTTGTAAACTCAGCAACATTTGTTTCACCAAAAGAAAAAATAATTATCATTTTCTTTATTTTATGTTTAATCTATTGATGTTATAATTTGAGCTTGATTATATACTCTGGTACTACACTAAGGGCTTCTTTTAATAATGTATTTTGAAAGTATTTTTTTTTCTTTATCGTCCGACTCAATCCATAAGTTCTTAAGTGATATTGGTGCTAAAAAAGCCTTATTATATTCATATCATAGGAAAATAATTTCTTAAAATCTTTTGCCTATACCATCTTGGGAAGCTTTTAATAAAGGTAGACAATATTGTAAACTTAAATTTTTAAGATAACCATGTCCCCTTTAGCCACATATAAATAATATACTTTTATATGTTTAACAAAATTTGTGTTGAATCCTTTATCATTTCTTTGTTTATACAGGTTTTAAATTCAGCCTGTACAGTGTCTTTTTTAAATTTTATTTAAAAATAATTTCCATCTAAAATTTTAAGATTGGGATTTGATTCAGGGGAACTTATTTCAATAATTGAAATTTCACTATTTTCTTCTTCACAACCATGAGTGTTAATCATCCTATAAATTAAAAAAAAATTACATAAAATTGGTGATGATATTCTATAGAGTTACATTTATATATAAAAATATAATCTTTACTTATTTCGATTTGGTGTTGTTATTTAATATCAATTTATCTTGATATGAGTTGTAAATTTTCCAGCTAATTTTGGTTGTCAATACATTTAATATATGGCGGAAAAAAAATAAGGAAATTAATATAAGATTCCCGAAAAAAAAAGATTCGAGATCATTTTTTTTAATATTCGATCCCGATCCTATCTTTATATCAAATGCTATAGACTAAAATTATTATTTATAAATTAAAAACATAAAAATTGGTGTTTTTTAAATTTTAGGCATTTATATTATCAATTTAGTAAATTAAAATTAAAAATTTTAATTTTATTTTTCTGATGCTACCTGATATATCAAGAATCTTTCATTCATTTGAGTAATAAAAGTATTCAAGAAGGGGTTATTTTATAGTATTTTTCACTGACCATATTAATATTGGAATGATGAGTTGGGCAGTATTGCCAATACTTTTATCTAAGATACAAGAAACAAGCTTTTGCATACTCGGTGTTCCCATTCTAAATCGCTAAAAATTGGGAATCTCCATTATATCTCCAAATCAAATTGGGAATTTGGATGATATTTCCTCCATTTTTAGCGACTTTTTTAAAATTCTCAATTTAAATACAAGTGTTTATTGCCCTAGCATATTAATATTAATTTCAAATTTACTTTAAAAATTTTCTAGGGGATATAATCCCAATTTTTAGCGATTTAGAATGGGAACACCGAGTATTCAAAAGGATCTTGTATCTTAGATACAAGTATTCGAGGTACTGACCTACTCATCATTCCAATATTAATATGATCAGTCAAAACAAATATAAAATAAACAACTTTATCCCCTTCTTGAATACTTTTATTACTCAAATGAATGAAAGATTCTTGATATATCAGATAGCATCAGAAAAATAAACAAAAAATTTTAAATTTTAATTTACTAAATTGATAATATAAATGCCTAAAATTTAAAAAACACCAATTTTTATGTTTTTAATTTATAAATAATAATTTTGATCTATAGCATTCGACTTATATATTTTTTAAATAATTTTAAATTATCTTGCAAAAAACGTGTCTAGTTTGGAATATTCCTTTTTGAAAAAAATCTATTTTGTCAATTTCATTGTGAAGAAACAATCATTCATTTATTCCATTTCAACAAATGTTAAGCACAGATATGCCGCAGATCTATTTGACTACCTTTTTATGCCGTTATTAAATATAAATATATCAATATTTTAAAAGATGATAGAATTTTTTATAATGATAATATGAGTAAAACTTATTTTAGATATTTCATTTATTATATTTTTAACAGCTTTTGTGCTCTTGTTTAATGAGATATAAATTACTACAATATTTATTAAACAAACTGAAAAAAATTAACATCTATGAAGATCATAGAATCATAAGATTCAAAAATATCTGAAATTGGGGAAAGAGAAACCTTAAATGTATTCAGACCAAATTAATTTTTTATAATTTAAAATTCGATATTTAATAATCGGCCTAAGACTTGCCGTAATTTTTACTTTGCTTATAACTGGTTTTTTGGCTAAAAAAATCTAATCGATGAACAGTAAGAACTAAGTTGTTAAAAGTTACTTTGAAATATAACTAGTTACAGTTACTAGTTACATTTAGTTACATTTTTACAAATGTAACTAGTTATTAGTTACAGTTATATTTCAAATGTAACTAGTTACATAATAAGTTACTTTAAACATCATTCATAACACATTATTTATTTACTGAACGCAATTTCATATAAAAAAATTAGGATACAATAATTATAATTAATTATTTGAAAAAATATATAATTTATTTATATAAAAAAATAATTAAACCGAAAAAAAATATCAGAAAATAGAATATATTTATTAGACCTGCAGACCCGGCTCTACCGGTCCGGGTACACAGGCTGGGACGTATTTTAATTTTTTAAATATACTCAAGTCGGGCCTGAAATTTAAAAAAAATCTAGGTCAGGCCGTATATTTTAAAACCAAATATTTGAAATCGCTATTATTAGCTATAAAAATCAAAAATAAATATAATATATTTATAAAAAATCCGGGCCGGGTCTAAAAATTTTTCTTATTAATAAGTAATGATTACTAATTTAGTAGTTTATTCAAAAAATATTTAATTTTTAAATAATCTAAGTCTTTATCATTCCTTATACTAAGTTCTATGATCTAATTTAGTAAAATTTTTAAAAAAATACATTTATATGTAATTCTATAAATATTACCGGCAACTTGAGGGCAAAAAATATGGAATAGTGATAAATAGGTAAAGAAATATAATATTAAAAAATAGGTTTATTAAAGCAATGTAACAATTTAAGAAAAGAAAATTTATTTAGACGGGAAATCATATTATTGTTGCATACCCTTTGTGAACACAATCAGACATTTAAACAAAATTTTAAATTAATAAATTTAAAAAAAAATTATTTTCCTTGAATCGAACTGCCCACCTTAAAATTTTATTGTAGTGGACATTACTAGCTTTACCCATCTAGGTTTACCCATTGGAGGTGAAAGTACGATATTTCATTTCATAGATGAATTACTTGTCTTAAAACATTTACCTGCTCATCAGGCTTTTTATTTATTCAAATATTTTTTATTCCTTCCTAAAATTTTACATGCCTTTCGTTCGTCAACAATTTTCATGTCCTTGAAATATTATTTTGAGGTTCAATATAAAAAATACTTTCGAATCTATTTAAAATATCAAATTCTCTTCACTCTCCAGTATGCAAGCTGCCCTTCCACCAGCTAGGTGGTATAGGTATCCATTCCCCCAAATCTTTAAGCATTTCAGCCTTTTTATTCTCAGTTGCTAAATTTTCATACATACTTGGAGACTTGGATATTATACCACATCATATAGTAACATTAAACCTCTGGAGCAAAGATTCTCCAAGCCGCTCATATCCAAATTTAAGACAAAGAGACTGGAATTTACCATTATACAACATTGCGTTGAATACTTACACTTCAAAACTGTTCACAGAAAATCTCCATCGCTCTTTCTCCTCTAAAACGCACAGAGTATACAGAATGAAAACAATACGACCTTTTGCTAGATCAAATAATTCCAGCCTCAGCCATATGCCACCCTGGCTACGAATGGTTAGAAACTATACCTAGTTTTAATTTAGGCTTGTTTACTAACCAACGAAGAACTTAGAATAGCTATAGGTCTTCGTTTTGTGAAATCGTAACGCCGATATCATGTGTCCCTTGTGAAACTCATATCGATAGCCTTAGACACCCCCCCCCCATACTGTCGTTTTTCAGAAGGCAAATTATCCAGACACTATGCCATCAATTCGATATCAATAGAATCTTGAAATCCGCAAATATTCTATTCTTTCTACACTAGAACCCTCTGGCGTCAGCCCTGATGGAATGACGCTAGTCATGTGGAACCAATGTAGTCCCCTCGCTTGGGATTATACATGTGTATATCGTTTTACCAGATCTTTTTATTCCAACTCTATCACAAAGCTAAAAATACAAAAATAAATAAATATAACCACCTTAATAATCTTTTGTTCGTTCAGATAGTCTTAGACACCTGTGGATCAGTTGGACCCCAAGCCCTAAAATTATTCAAAACAATAGGGCAAAGGTTAAGTTTAATCACAGATGATCCAAAAAAAACTTCTATATACGACAAAGAATATCAATCAAAATTTGTCGATCCAAATGTATATCTATAAATGGGTCATTAAGCCTCGCCGACCAAACCTAAATACATTATTTTATTTTATTTCTCTTCTTTTAATTATAAATTTTTACATAGAATATAGATATAATATAATAATTTTAATATGAATAGTTATATTATTTTTAAAAAAACATATTAAAAATATAATTAATTACTGGAATAAATTATTTAGATTTATACATATATATTTTTAAAAGTAACTAGTTACTTTTGGCAGTTACATTTCAAAAAATATAACTAGTTACAGTTACTAGTTACAATTTTTAAAATATAACTAGTTACAGTTATTTTTTAGCAAAAATGTAACTAACTTTAACAACACTAGTACTAATCATGCATTACATATTGTTCATTGCTTCTATAATTTTCCTCCTAGCATGATGCCAATTTTGGCGATTTTTTTAATTTTGCCAAAAATGTTTTTCTTTAAACTATATATCAAAGGGATTGAAGCAGTAATGAAGTATGAAATATGCACAAATTATTGAGATAATTTTCCGAAATAATGCTTCCAGATATTTGGCGAACTTTACCCTTATGTGATATCATAGTTAGTTTTTGGTTCATAATTCGGTTACTTTTTTAATGGCTGGCGAAATTGATTAAAGAATTCATAAGGCACTAAATATTAACAACGAGATAGTTAAAACTTCTATATTCTCCATTCTGGTATGATGCTGATTTTGACAATTTTTTATCAATAATTCTTTTAATTGTTTAAGTATAAGTTTCAAAATTAATGCTTCCAAAAGGTTAGTTCACTTCACGCTTACAGCGTGATGTTATAATTTTCATTTTGTTTGTAACTTAGTTTCTTCTCGTGGTTCTCCTATTAGAGTGAGGAATTGAAAGTACTAGTAAAGGCATTAAATATTAGCGAGCGCCAGATATATCGTTTTTTATATACCTTTAGCATGATATCTATTTTGACATTTACTTTTTTCTTTATATCTACCAAACGGATAATGTACAATTATGATTTATAATTGATAAAATTTACTGAATAAATGCTTGTCACTTTTTAATAATGTTGTTAAACGGCTCGATTTAAGCCGATTTTTAAAAACGGCTATATTTTAGCTAGAAAAATATTGTCTAAGCCTCGAGATTTCATTAATAGATGTTCAAACCTTTGTGCCGCTTATGAGCAAAATAAGTCTTGCATAATATTTTTCTGGCTAAAATGTTGAGTTAGCCGTTTCTAAAAATCGGCTCACTTTTTAATCTTAAGGTTGGCCAAAATCTTGTTACTGATATTTTTCTTTTATACTGGCTAGTCAAGCACTCACAAAGCACAAAACTGCTATATTTTAAAATTAGGCTTGTTCAACCAACCTTATTGGAGATTATATAAAGACCACCGAAAAATTAACAATATATAAAAAAAAATTATAGTAAGGACCCGATCGAAGAAAATTTAAACTCCCCCTCCTATTGAAAAATTGTGGCTTCGCCACTAGGTAGCACTTACAAATCTGCAAATATTACTACTGCATAATCCTTCCAAAACTATTTCAAATCTTGATGGATAAATTATTAAATATTTGGCATATGGGCCATTCCATAAGTCAAATCGATAAAAAAGGCGCATTTTCGGCCGACCGTACTTAAAATTGTTAAAATTTTCTGGAATTATTTAGATAACTATAAAAATGAGAAAGTCTTTTATTTTAGCTCACTAGCATACCTGGTTCCCTAGGATATAGGTGCAAAAAGGGGCCACTCTGGAATATGTAAAATTTTTAAAATGCTTATATCTCAAAAACTATTTATAGATAAAAGTATATAATATCTCATATTGTAGGTAAAAGAAATCTCTAAGCGGCTATCAATAAACAATAAAAATTGGCGCCAATTTGACCTTTTACTTCCGATTTGCCTATATTGCTTTACCTGAGCTTTTAAGCAAAAAGAGAGTTTGTTTCGAAATTATTTTTTTGCTTTTTATTTAGACACCTTTTATAAATATATATATGATGTAGGCGACGGTAACGAAACGACTCTTCCGAAATATACATTTTACCAAAAATTGAAAAAAATAGATGGCACTATATGAAAATATGGAACTACGGATTATAGTTGGAAAAATATTATTCTTAAGGTAAATGAAAATATTGATAAGTTTATAAGATGTGATATGTACCAGTTCTATTCCCCCCCCCCGCCATCCATAAAAAGTTTTGCATTTTTTTAGATCTCTACTTATTATCTCAATAAAATTGTATAACTGCTGCATAAGAATATTTTATTATGCATATTATTTTACAAAATAAACAGTTCGAATCGTGCGATCTCTCCATGCATTATATTTTTTAACATGCCCGTTCAGATTAATTTAAAATAATTCAACCCGTCTGCAAGCTTATTATTTTAACTCGTCTGTCTACCAATAACGAGATTTGGAGAGTTGAAAAAATTTATTATAGGTGCAGATCAATTAAAATTTTATTCTATATCACAGATTGAAAATTGTTAAAAGAAATAATATCTGATACTCACATTCATAATAAAATTGCCGTTCATTTATTCCAAAATTATTTAGTCAGCTACTTAACTGAAATTTCTATGCCAACCAAAAAATTCTTCTAATTTTCAGATGGAGCAGCATCTCAATATAAGAATTGCAAAAATTTAATCAATCTTTGCCATCATGAAGCTGAGTGGCATCTCTGAGCCACATTTCATGGCAAATCGGCTTGTGTTGAGGTCGGAAGTAGTCAAACGTTTAGTGGCCTGGTCTAATTTACAAAGACCTGTTTCTATAACTTGTCCTAAGGTTTTGCCTATTCTAAGGAAAATATTAAAGGTATAAGATTTCTAATTTAATATACATCATATATTTTTTTTATTAGGGAAAAGATTTCTCTTAAGGCGAATATGAGAAAGAGCAAATAATTTTAAAAGAGAGATTCAGTAAAACGATTCAATAAAGCATGTACAATACTGGGACGTTAAATTTCATACTTTTCATCCAATTTCTCTGGTAAAATTGAAGCCAAATTTTATTCAAACTCAACAGAATCGCAAATATTAAATATAACATTTTACTCGAATATTAAATGAACAAAAATGGATATAACATGTATCTATGACAATCAATAATGGATGGTCTATGTTTTACAAAAAAAAGAGGTGTTAGTTCATTTTTTGCATTCTCAATCAAATTCTTTTACATATCCCTCCTTGAATGACAAATTGTGGATACATAAATCACAAATTTTAGATGTGTTCAGTGCTTCAACTGTTACCAGACAATCATTTACTTTACATAAGGATGAGACAATTAAAACTATTCATCTTTTTAATTTATTAGCTTAAAATATATAATTGTTTATCTAAATTTTGTTTCAAATATATTTTAAATTATTGAATGAATTTGAGTATCTATCTATAATTATTAATAAAAATGAATAATAAAAAAATTATAGGATATTTATTATTGGAAATTTGATTTATTATTAAGTGTCTAAGGATTATTTGCCCCCACTGCCCCTCAGTTTAATTGGTATATTTTATAAAAATTCTAAATATTTGAGTATAAAATGTTAAAATATCTTGTCATTGGTAAATAAGAAACAAAATTTTACCCATAATCTGTAGTTTTATAAAGCGCCATCTATATTCCTTCAATTTTTAATAAAAATATAAACAAACTCCCTTTATTGCTTAAAAACACGGGGAAGCAATGTAGTTAAATGGCAAGTTAAGGATTTAAATTATTGCCAATTTTTTTTTTGATAGACCTTTAAAGATTTTTTACCTAAAATATGATATATTATATTATATTACTATAAATAGTTTTTGAAATATAAGCATTTTAAAAATTTTAGAGATTCCAAGGTGGCTCTTTTATGCACCTATGAGCCCCTATATCTTGAGAAAGCATGATAGAGAGCCAAACTAAATTGCTTTCTTATTTTTATTATTTATCTAAATAATTCCAGAAATTTTTACAATTTTAAAAGGAGTCAGCCAAATCATGATCAATCTGACATGAAATGGCTCACAGATTTTCATGTGAGGATCTTAAAATATCCCCTAATACATCACCAACTAAATGCAAATTATGGTATAAAAGGTTAAATATATTTGAAAATGTTCAAAAAAATGTTATAGATACTTAGCATAATTCATATTTGTTTTATGAATACTTTGTATGTTTATATACATGCAATAATTCTTAAGAATTTTTTGTGCATTAATTTATTTTCCAACATTTAATTTTTTTTAAATATATATTAAATTTTATAAACTTAAATATTTATTTTTTTATAAAGTTCTTTGAGACATTTATTTTATTGTCACTAATGTTTGTTCTAATAAACTTCTCAAACTCAAGATATTCTTGAATAACATTTAAAAAATTATAATTAATCCCCCCAACTCCCAATAGCAAATTCATGCCTATACCTTTTAATAGTTAAATATTTTTATAATATTATAAATGATAGAAACTAATTTAGAAATAAAAAAAATTTAACTATTGAAAAATATATATAGAAGGCATCAAAATTTTATTTTTATAGAAAATAATAACTTATCTTTAGTCTCTTCTGGAATATTGAATTTAAGAAGAATCAGGCTATGAACAATCCAGTAAATAAGCCATGTTTGACTTGCATCCAGACACTATATACAGTGTTTAGATATTAATAAATTATCAACTTCTTTAATATAAAGAAAATTTAATAATATAATTATATATAATATTTTTTTAGTTATATCAATAATGAAATACTTCATAAGAATCACTTAAAACATGTAATCCTTTCCTTAAAAATGATACATGGGAATCAATTAACAATTCCGGCTCACTAAAATAAGTATTAAATTGGATAACTATATATATTTACAAAATTTCATCATGGTTTAATAACTCAAAATGTTTAAATATTTTAAGAATGTTATTTTCAATTTTTTCCTGAATTTAAAAATGGATTTGGAAAAAATATTAAAATCACTTGTTCTTTACGAGTTAAAGTGTCATCTTCCTTAAATTTTAAATCATATTGATCAATATTTTTCAAAACTCGCTGGTGGTGATTGTCCATATGACTATCAGCTGTTATATTTGAATATACTGCCCAAAAATGAGATGACTGGCATCTGTCTAAAGCCAGGTGATCGTTATATCTGACACCGTGGCCGATCATGTGTTTATTAATGTCAGCTTTATAAATTTTTTGAATTATTTTTTTTTAGAAAACTTACCTTTTTTTTCGTGGTATAAAAAAAAATTAGGAGGACTTTTCAAATTTTAAAGGAGGCTCTATCCCCTGCGCCCCCGTGCCCCCAAGTGACTCTATTTGCAATAGTATAAAGTGCTGGCGCACCTGATGTGTCTTAGTAATTTTTGCTTATTTCATCTAAAGATAAACAATGAAAATTTCGGTACTTCAATTGATTTTATTAAATTCTAAAAGGTCAATCTTCAAAATCATTATCAATATCATTTAATTTTACACCATATTTAGTAAATGATTGACAAAATTGGAGTGAGTATCCTAACAGTAGCAATTAGTTTATCAGAAATCCCATACTCAAAGATTTCTTCCAACTCTGCAATTTTATCAATGTTCATCTATATACCAAGGTTCTTGATTGTCTTTCAAGGTCTTCTCGATCTATGTATAAATTATATTACTTTCTATCAGTAGCGCAAATAGGGGGAGGGGTCTCAAGCCCCTTGAAAAATTTGAAAAGCCCCTCAAAGTTTTGAATTTTTTTATACCTCTAAAAAAGGTTAGTTAGCTAAAAAAAAAATTAGGTTAACTAAAATTGTGCAATTATTGTTTTTATTTTATTATAGCATTAAATAAAGCTGATATTGGTTCAATCATTTTTTTATGGTGGTGGAGTTTATTGGTTTTCTTCTTTGCTATTTTATATATAATTTATATAGATTATAAAAGCCTAAATATCATCTCTAATTATGTTTTATAAAATTATAGAGGAGTTTGTTGTACCCTTTATCATTTTATTTCCATCAAAAATTTTAAGATTGAAATTAGATTCAAGGGAACTTATATCCATAATTTCACTTTTACTACCTTCTTCTTCACCATCATAAATGTTAATCTTCCTACAAATTAAAAAAATATTATATAAAATTGTTAATGATATTTTATCAAGTTATATTTATATATAAAATATATTATTTACTTATTTCGTTTTGGTGTTATTTTTATCTATTTTAACGTGATTTGTAAATTTCCCAGCTGATTTTGGTTGTTATTATATTTAAAATATGGCAGAAATCAATACAATCAGCGTGTACATGACAAAATTTTCACTGGATAAAAACCCCCTTCAAAAACCTATGCTACCCTCCTAAAAAAAATTTGTCACTATTAATTACATTTTTAATTAGTGGTACTCTCCTTTCATAAATTTTAAAAAGAATAACTTAAATTATTTTAGCTCTAATACCAACTATAAAAATATTGTTAATATAAAAGAGTTATCTTTTATATCTTGAATTCAATTAAAAACTACCTCATTTATAGTGAATGCATTATTATTGCATATTGTTTGGCATGAATATGAGTTTGCTGAGAATATCTGACCCTTTTAAATATCATTTAAAAGGATAGCAAAAGTTTTATTTAGAAAATAATGTCTATGATTGTTTACAATATATGGATTTGGTCGATGATCAGCATTATCATTGTATTATAATAGGTCTAATGAAAGTATTAATTTTTATAGCCATATATTTTGTCATAATTTATCTAAAAATTAACAGATAAGGCACCTACTTCCTTCAATAAAAATTAGATGCATACTGTTCCTACCCCCCCCCCCCCCCCATTTTCGTTAATGTAGACGCTGAATACAAATACAATATTCCATAAATATGTGAAATGTAAATTTTTCAAACATTAATATTCTTTTGTCAAGAAACAAGTATCTTATTATAAATGTCTAGAAGATACTGAATATAAAGTATTTTAATACATATAGGTATTCGCGGTACTGCACAATCTGCAATTGTCACATCCACCAGTGCACATTTTGTTCTTAAAACTTTTATTTTTTGAAAAACTTTGGCCTATAAATCCCAAATCTACACATTGGATGTCAAAGATTTTTTCTTAATACAGAAAATACATATAAATTTTTTCTTTAAATGCAATATGATATTTTTTTAAATACAATATGATAATTGTTTCAAAATCATGTCCATCTTCAGCCGTCAAATAATCTCTTTACGATTTTCATTTCATGATGTAATATTTCAAAATTAAGGTTTAATAAGGACGCATTGGAGTTATTTTACTAGTAATAAGATAATCTGGGTCAAGAGGGGTTGGGGTGTATTAAAATAAGATTTATTGTATAATCATCGTCAGCAAATCTTAAAAAACGTTCAATAAAATACTCCATATTTTAATAATAATTTCCTTTTAAAGAACTCCAATTACATTTTCTTTTCTTTTCACATTCAATTTTAATTTGATATCAATAAAAAATCATGACGATTTTTAAGCATTTTACGAACACTTGAGGATTTTGTCGCGGGTCAAATATATAAGATTTTTAACCTTATTTTTATCAAGTCGAATGAATTTTCACCTCTTTATTTTTTAATATATTAATTGTGGAGTCAACACAATTTTATTACTATATTCGTATCTATTGATTAAAATGCTTATTTAATGGATCGATTGTTGTCATGTTTCATAAATCACAACGGTCATTTATATGTGCACTGGGAAAAAGACAAGGGGTTTGGACTGAATAATGATTGGAAAGTTCCGAGTTAAGAGTCGTATTAGAAAAGTATAATAACACTTCACTAATAGCCTCAAAATTTTGATAAATCATATGAGATGTTGACAAATGACCAGTCCTTATCTAAAAATCTCTTAATAGTAGGGTCTGTATATTTTTAGGATACCATAAAACGCCTAAAGTAATTGTACAATTTGTTTGCTAAATTTAAAATATTAAAATTACAGAAATATTGTTATATCATTTATTAGCAACAAGATACAACTTGTGATTGAAACAATATATATAAGTCACCTTTTTATTATTTTTTTTGGAGAAATGTTTACTCTTCTATTTTGACCGGACAACATGTGCACTATAATATCCCTGGTTTATATTTGATTAATTAATCTATAAATCATTAAGTTGTTTTAAAATGCAATTCATAATGCTTTCAACCAGAGTTGTACAAAAGATATTCTTTGAAGATTTTTGAGCGAGATCTCGCTCAAAAATTTGAGCAAGATCTTTGAAGATCGTAAAATTTGAAGATCTTTTACTTTTAAAAAATTTTGAGCAACGATCTTCCGAGATCTTTTGAAGATCTTTTATTTTAAAAAATTTTTGAGCAGCGATCTTCAAAGATCTAGATCTTTGAAGATCTATTATTTAAAAATATTTTAGATCAAACGATCTTCAAAGATCTTCATATTTTATAATGTTTTATTTTTTTGATATTATTTTTTGAACTGCATGTTAAATTAAAATAAAAATTTAATAAAGATGTACCGACAATTTTCATAATCGTTATTTTTTAACTTTTTTCGACATATATGGGTAAAAAAAAATTTATATAAAAAAAAATTTATATTATAATTTCAATGAAGATGTAATGTATTAAAAAGTGGAAATTGTAATAATCGTTATTTTTAACTTATTTGATTTATTATATCCTAAATTAAATAGGTTATAATTATTAATATTAAGATGTAAAAATAAAATTTGAATGAAGATGTACCATAGAAAAGTGACAATTGTTATAATCGTTATTTTTGAAATTTTTTTTAAAGCATAGCATAAATATTATATTGTTAACATGTTAAATTAAAATTTCTGTGAAGATGAACCACAGGAAAGTGACAATTATCATAATCGTTATTATTGAACTTTTTTAAATTTTTTTAAAGCAAATGGGTAAAAATAGATATTGTTAATATGTTTTAAATTAAAATTTCAGTGAAGATGTACTACAGGAAAGTGACAATTGTCATAATCGTTATTTTTGAACTTTTTTGAAATTTTTTAAAGCAAATAGGTAAAAATAGATATTGTTAACATGTTAAATTAAAATTTCAGTGAAGATGTACTACAGGAAAGTGACAATTGTCATAATCGTTATTTTTGAACTTTTTTGAATTTTTTTAAAGCATTTGGATAAAAATAGATATTGTTAACATGTTAAATTAAAATTTCAGTGAAGATATACTACAGGGAAGTGACAATTGTCATAATCGTTATTTTTGAACTTTTTTGAATTTTTTTAAAGCAAATGGATAAAAGAAGATATTGTTAACATGTTAAATTAAAATTTCAGTGAAGATGTACTACAGGAAAGTGACAATTGTCATAATCGTTATTTTTGAACTTTTTTAAATTTTTTTAAAGCAAATAGGTAAAAATAGATATTGTTAACATGTTAAATTAAAATTTCAGTGAAGATGTACTACAGGAAAGTGACAATTGTCATAATCGTTATTTTTGAACCTTTTTAAATTTTTTTAAAGCAAATGGGTAAATGAAGATATTGTTAACATGTTAAATTAAAATTTCAGTGAAGATGTACTACAGGAAAGTGACAATTATCATAATCGTTATTATTGAAATTTTTTTAAAGCAAATGAGTAAAAATAGATATTATTAATATGTTAAATTAAAATTTCAGTGAAGATGAACCACAGGAAAGTGACAATTATCATAATCGTTATTATTGAACTTTTTTAAATTTTTTTAAAGCAAATGGGTAAAAATAGATATTGTTAATATGTTTTAAATTAAAATTTCAGTGAAGATGTACTACAGGAAAGTGACAATTGTCATAATCGTTATTTTTGAACTTTTTTGAAATTTTTTAAAGCAAATAGGTAAAAATAGATATTGTTAACATGTTAAATTAAAATTTCAGTGAAGATGTACTACAGGAAAGTGACAATTGTCATAATCGTTATTTTTGAACTTTTTTGAATTTTTTTAAAGCATTTGGATAAAAATAGATATTGTTAACAAGTTAAATTAAAATTTCAGTGAAGATATACTACAGGGAAGTGACAATTGTCATAATCGTTATTTTTGAACTTTTT